GGAATCATCGCGAATTTGCCGTTTAAAGCTCCCGTTCAAGCCATATTTCAAGGTATAGGTGTGCGACTTAATAGCCAAGATATCGGAAAAACGAATCTTGATCCTGGCATGCAGAAGACAACACCGGAATCACCGTCCACCAATGCACAAAAACGGTCTCAAATGCATTTAGTAAATGCCTTGGAAGGTGATTTGCAAAAAAGGCGTGCTATTGATCCTAAAGAAACTTCCATTGTACTATTTCCTGGGCAAGGAACTCAATATGTTGGCATGGCGGATCAATTGATGCGATTTCCATCAGCACGATCCATTTTTGAACTAGCAAATGAAGTGTTGGGTTATGATCTTCTCAAGATATGCCTTCAGGGGCCAAGCAATAAACTAAATCGAACGGAACATGCCCAATTGGCGGTGATGGTGTCGTCCCTGGCCGCATTGGAGCAACTGCGTGAAGAACGACCACGTGCTATTGACAATTGTGTTGCGACAGCTGGTTTCAGTTTAGGCGAGATTACAGCATTAGTATTTGCCGGTGCGCTCCCATTCGATAAGGCATTGCGTCTAGTCCAGGTTCGTGCCAATGCAATGCAAGCGGCATGCGATGCTGTGCCAAGTGGTATGATACTAATACTATATGGACCAGATACTCAAGTTGGTACTGTGTGCGCAAAGGCACAACAATGGTGTTTGGAGCGTGGTGTGGAAGCGCCATACTGTGGTGTCGCCAACTACATGTACCCTCATTGCAAAGTAATTGCGGGTAACCAAGATGCTTTACAATACATCGAGGTGAATGCAAGGGCGTTAAAAATAAGACGTTTGAAACGACTTCAAGTAAGTGGAGCTTTTCATACACCCATTATGCAATCAGCTGTAGAACCTTTTGCAAATGCACTTAAGAAGATTCAAATAAAAGACCCGCTAATACGGGTATACTCGAACGTAGATGGTAAGCCATACAGAAATGCAGCCCATATACTGCGTCAACTACCCAAACAAGTGAGTATAATTAGTACATGTACATACATAAGTCATTTAATATCGAGTTCATAAATTACATATTCAGATTGTAAGCCCGGTAAGGTGGGAGCAGACCATGCATTTAATGTACGAGCGACGTCAAGGTGTGGATTTTCCACGCACTTTCGAATGTGGACCAGGCAAAGGACTGAAACAAGTACTTGAAAAGGTAAATGCAAAAGCGGCAAACACAGCATTCAACGTGGAGGCGTAGCAATAAATTGAAATTAGTTTATAGTACATATATAGCTTTTGAGCTGTAACGAATGCCAAGATTGCAGCTCTAGATATTTGTTACCAATAAAGTGTTGGGACAAATTTGTTTTAAGGTTATAACGACGTATTTTTCCACAATTAAACGTATTTAGCTTACGTTCAACATGTTTCCATTCCAGGTTGGTATTTAACTTTATTAATATTTTAGCCTTTTAAATAATATGTGTATGGATATTATGAAAAAATATAAAAAATTAATTTAACTCTTTTCATCGCGTGCACGCATTCGATGCACAAACGCTGCACCCTTATTTTTACGGAAGTTTTCAAAGGGATCGTTCATATTAACACCTACACCCTGCAAGTAGAAATATATTTTGGTATAAAGAAATTTTTCATCTACAATTTATTACCTTAGAATATAATTTTTTACCTTAAACATGTCTTTGCGATCGCGTACTTCGCCTCCTGAAATAGGTTGATCGATGCCCTGTTGCTTTGAGCCTAGACCAGTGCCTGAGCCAGCCCAACCCATTTTTTTCAACATTTGATGGCCCTTATTAGATTCCTCGATAAACTCATTGGGCTTTGGAAAATTTCCACCACTATATTCAAAGCAATTTAAGACAAATTTCATTAAAATAATCACAGCACTTTTGGTAAACACAAAATGTACATACAAGAAACTTGGTGGAGTGACAGAGCGCTCTCGACGTGGATTGGCTCGTTCTGATCGATTTTCGCGACTACTGTTTGAAGAATCGCGCTCTCGTTCATTTCTATCTCTCTGTGGTGACCTTCTAGGTGAACGACTACGTCGGCTGTAGCGATTGCGTCTTGATGGACGCGCTGGAGGCGGTGGTGATCGGTATGGTGATCGTGACTTTGAACGACTGCGACTTTTCGATCTGCATGTTTTTACGAATATGGGTGAGTGTCTAATACATTTTTCAATAAAAGTATGTAAATTTTCTTACCGATAGCAGCGCTTATTAGATTTCTTTGTTTTGGGTTTTTCCAAGACGATAGGGGAAGGCGAACGTGTTTTTTCGCGTTCACCTTTTTGTAGTTCATCCTCTTTCTGTTTTCTCGCCGCATTTTTCACTTTATAGTATTCGTAAAGACCGAGCTTTTCCCAACCCTCGCTGTGAGGAGAATGAATTAGTATACATATGTATGTGTATATTTTAACTACTTACGTATCACGCGGCCGATCGTGCGTTGGTGGTGCGTAGAATGCCGCTAGCGCATTGGTCAAACGTTCACTTTGTGGCGCAGGTGGTGGCAAGCGTATATCAGCCGGATCCAAAGCCTTGTAGTTATAGTCGTCTAAACGTATCAATGGCACCATCAATCCAGCAGGCAAGTCATAATAAGGCGCTGATGGTTTTTGTTCCTCCATTTCCATTTCGGACGGCATGAGACCCATTGGCGGAGAAATCTCATCATTGTCAAGCATGTGATGCGGCGGCATTTGAGTTTGTGTTAATTGCTGCGAATCTGATTGAATTTCTGGTAGTGTTAGATGTTGCTGCCCAGATGCATCTAAATTCTGATGAGAGTTTTGTAGTTGTTGATTTTGTTTCAACACAAGCTGTATGGCTGCGTTTAACGCTAGTACATCAATATTGGCAGCAGCTGAATTTAGGTTCGCACCATCAAGGCTGCCAGCGCCTACGTTACCATTATTATTATTGGCAGAGTGCGGAATGTTGTTCATTTGGCCAAATGGCTGTTGTAAGCCCGCCGGCATTTGATTGTTGCCAACGACACTGGGCGGAGCGTTGCCCGCAAAACCTGGAGGCGGTTTTGACATGTCCGGTATAAAGAAATTCCCCGCTCCTCCCTGCTGCGGCATGTTGTCGAGCGCAAAGTTATTTTGCTGCGGACCACTTGGTGGAACGAAATTTATGTTGTTGTCATATTGCTGTTGTTGCTGATAGTGATGATTCCCAACACCGCCATAACTATTATCATCAACTCCAGGCGGTTTCATAAGTTCATCATCATCATCTGGCATGGACACCTTCTGCGCCATAAGCGGTGGAATCTTCGGAATAATGGGCTGTTGCTGCTGCTGTTGTGGAGGTAACGCGGCGACTGCCGGCAAAATCGCAGCTGCATTGGGCAATACCGATGCCAACATTTGCTGTTCCAATGGTTGCTTCTGTTGCTCCAATTGGGTGATTTGTTGCGTTGCATGTTGGATGAAGATTTGATGTTGCTTCTGGTAGCTAGAGTGATATGCATACACACATATGTACATAGATGAT